GTGAGGAACCATGGTCACTCCTGGGACTGGTCACCACTGGAAGCCGCAGCTCCTGGAATGCGCTCTGGATCTGTTAGTAAAGGTTCCAGCTGTGAAATGGCCAGCGATAGGAGTGACTCCTCTGGCCAGTGTTCTGGGAGGCAACCACGCTGACGTCAGCGGGGTTTGCAATTGCAATGCACTGCCAACAGAAGCTTCCCTCGGGTCCTCTTGAAGTTGATGATGTGGAGGCCATCCCCTTTCCTTCTTTAGATGTGCTGTTCCATCTGGAATTCAAGGTTGGTGTTGGCCAGGTGGGTTCCTGTGGCCAAGAATTTGAAGACACTCTCCTTTCTGTGCGGGACGTCAAGGGCTCCATTGCGACAGCTTCCCTATAACCTATACTTGAAATCAAAGGCAATGCTGTATGGACCCCTGCCTGGGAGTGTGGACAAGACTTTGCTCTTTCTATAAAGACCACTTCCCAGAAAAGGAGCCTACATAGAGGTGCAACAGTTACTGTTTTTATCCTGTTCTCTCAGGTAAAGCAGCCACGACTGATTTTTAAAATTTGTTTTTGCTTTGGGCAGAATTGTTTCTCAAGGGCACATGGGTTCTAAAGCGCTCATTTTTGAGGATGCTCAGGAGCAAGCTGGGTCACTTGGAAGGGACATTTGTAAGGATGATTTCCCAAAGGGACAGAAGCCCAGTGGTTCTGGTGGTATGAAACATCAGCCTTTATTAAGATCGTGTAAGGCTTGATTTTGATTCCTAGTTCTAGCCCCTACAGAAGTAAGAATTCAAAGCAGAGGCATAAATATATTCACAGGCGAGAAAGAACAGGATTTGGTTAGAAACAGTGAACATACATTCACACACTGGCTGACAGATTTCCTCCACGAGAGCACCAGAAAGTTGGCTGAGAGTGTGTGGGAGGAGGCCAGGGAAGGACCCGCAAGCAAGGTCCAGAAGTCAAAAAGCAAAATGGAAAGCTGCTCCCACGTGGGTCAGCCCCTCTGTAAGGCAAGGATGTGGGCGGGGATCCTAACTGAATATACAACAGGATGGAGGTCATATGTGAAGCTTTTTGGGCATTTGACGGAACCTCCATGTGGAGTTTAACTTCTGTGTTGTCAGTGTACAGCATTCAAGAACAAAACTCTCCTTTCTGGAACTACAGTGAACCAGGTTCATTTCCCTTTTACTTGGATCTGGAATAGAATGTGTGTGTACCTTGCATGAGTTGAGATGCAGGGCATTTCTCTCCTCCATAACTCTTGCTCAACTTCCTAGGGGACATCTGAGTGTGTTCAGTATCTAGATTCCAGTGGTTGACATACTTAGAGCCCAGTGACCAGCTGTGCACCCCCAAACACTGCTGCTGCTTTTGCTGCAGCTACTCCACACTCAACCCCTCTACTTAGAATTTACCCCACCTCACAGAAGCTCCCCATTTTCCGAGAACTAGGGTGATACCCAAGATGGCTTCTCAGGTGAGTCACTGAGGGGCTGTGCACACTCAGAATGAGAACTGAAGCAAGCTCCAGCTCTTCAAGATTTGTCAGGAGGAGGTGGTAGGTATGACCACACAGCACAACCAGACAAGGCATTTAAGTAGTGTCCAGTGAACCAAATCAGGCCGAGCCAGCCAAACCAACTCATACTTTGGGAATGAAATATCCACTCTGGATGCCTATCTTGACCCAGTCAATAGGAATGATTGCCAAATGTCTATTGTATGGTATGTTGGCACAGGCACGATTCTCCTTGTTCAGGAAAATATGTACCTGAGTAAAAATGTATCTATAAGGCTTTTCCCCCAGCGTCTCTCTGGGAGTTTCTGGAATGTTAGCACATATCAAGGATGTTTGGAAAGATTGGAATTTCAGATTCAGGAAAAGGAGACAGTGGCTTAGAGGGTTATCAGAACGACAACTCAAAAGTATACACTTGAAGTATAAAATGTGTGTTTTGTGTAAGTGCATAGAAAATGTCCTAAAATCTTCCAAAATACAGTGCCTAAGACACACACAATAATGTCTTAGTGCATTTGATCTTTTATCTGCACAGCCTCTGGGGAGTTTCAACACTGGAGTACTGAGTCTTTGAAGCCTGCTCCCCCTGGGAAAGGCTTTCTATGTGAGCTTGATCTCTGAATTCTTAGTCTGGTGTCCCTACCAGGTGCTGATCAGGGCAGCTACTACACAATGGAGTCAGAGCTATAAGGTGGAGAGGTTTTTCAATCTTTGTTTAGCTGGCAATACACACGGTGTTCAGGTGGCCACTGGCTGAGTTGGGCAGCAATGGAAAGTCAGTGAGAGCCTGCCGAGTGCCTCAGTTTAGCAGTGCATTGCACATTATTGCTAGCATTGACATTAAAGCCTGAATCTGATGTCAGCAGCTCAAGGGACAGATCACGCCTGCTTTTCTTGGTTTATACTGTTTTGTGGAGTGGAACAACATTTACAAATCTGAAGATTTTTTGCAAAAATTTCAATTTTTGGATTCTCTTGGCAAACAAAGATCTGGCCCTTGAAGACACCTGGCAGTATGGGCTGAAGCTGAGCAGCCTCTTTCCAGGTCACGATTGTCTCCTTGCCTTTCCTTCTCCCCCCATTGCTGTGCAGCACAGCATTCTTCCCAGTTATCATCACATGGGCCCCTGGTGCTTTTCTTGAAGAGAAACAGTTCCCTGAATCAAAGTAGGAAAACAAAAGCTAAGTAGAAAGGGCAGCTTTACAAATACTCATTCACCATGTGCTTGACCACTGCAGGTACCCGAAATTGCTTTTCTACTCTAAAATAATGGAGTCCAAGTTGTTCCCCACCCAGGCAGCACATTGTCCAGTAACATGACACAGTACACACAGGGTCCCTCAAGAGTCTGTAATTTTCAAAAGCTCTCCCCTTTCCTTCTCCCTGCTTTGTACCCCTAATTTTTAAATTTAGAATCATTAACATTGAAAGCCAAGAAGGAAATTCTTATTTAATCATTCATTCTAATTGATCCTAAGTATCTAAATTACCATGCAGCTTGGAAAGCACACTGTAGAGGCTGACACCTTACAAATGTCTTTGGCAAATTAACTTCTGCCCCTCAGCCTCTTTGTCTTAACATACTCCTAGCCAAGAGAGAAGATTTTCTTAATGGTTCTATGTAGCATTTCTCCAGCTTGCAATTAAATTATATTTTAAAAGTTCCTCTTACATCGATTGTTTGAAGCTTTTAATTCTGTTGTCTTTAACAACAGAAATATTAAGAAATATTGACCATTTATATATTTGTGTAAAGTTTCCAACCAAAGCTCCTATTCCTTCAAAAAGTCAATGATTAAGTATGAAAAACATGAGGAACAAACTATGTGCTGGGACTCCCTTAAGGGGAAGGAACACTTTTTTTCTCTACTTTTCTAAAGAATAACACAGCAGGTTAACAGCACAAGTACTACAAAGTAAAATCCTCTAAACATTGGTTTCATTTATGAAGAGGTCCTGGAATCCAGGACCTCTGAGATAGTGGGCAAAAGGACAACTAATTTTTCATATAGCATAGTTTGCCCCAGGAATGAGAAGGAATTCCCTGCTGTACCAAATAAATGCAAGAGCTCTATTCTAGAAGTGTTATCTGCAATGAATTTGTTCCTCCCCTCTGTTCACAAAAAAAAAAAAAAGTAAGAAAACAAGAATGTTCCCTCAAAATCAGCATTTAATATAGTTGCTCTGATGAGAACAGTAACTACTATGCCCAATCCTGGTCAGCAATGGCACAGTCCAATTCCACAAAGTAGCACCCCAAATTATGACTTTTATGGGTCATTTGCCTTCCACTGGGAGCACAAGCACATGCAATCACTTGTTTAAAGCCCCAGGCAAGTAGAAGCCAGCAGGAATCTGCAAGGCATTGAGGAAAAATTTGACATAATTCTTGTCCAAGCAATGGCCAACCCTCCAAGGCATGTAGTAGCCAGAATGTTACCCCATGACTTTTAAGTTGTACTAAGAAGTTCTCATTCCAGAGATCTTGTAAGGAGATCATTGGGATCCTTGACAACCCCCTGGGAGGGGGAAGAGAATCTCTGTGCCAGTTCATACAGAGGCAGAGAGGGGATGGTAAGCCAACAGGGTCAGTAATACCTGCACTCTGGGCTTTAGTTACAAACCCAGAAAGCATCCTGCTCAGGCACTGCCTACAGAAACCCCTTCTCTAAGTCAGAAACAGGAGTAGGCAGGATGGAAAGCATAGTAACATTTTTCTGCAACTTCTTGGCTCCATTCATGTTCACCAATCATATACGCAAATCACTTGTTTTGGCCATGCAGGAGTAAATTGATACCTTATGGACACAGAAAGTAGAATCCTGTCCTACAAAGCTTCCTCTTGCTAAACATCCAAGTATCAACTGACAAAATATCCAGATTGCAGAACCTCCCCCTCCCTCCCCACGCTCCCACCAGCGTAAGAGGCAATGGGGTTGGGAAGGGGGGACAACTGGAGAAGGAAATGAAATCATGCGGGTGCACCAGGAAGAGATCAGTGTTGGTGGCAGCAGAGTTGGTGAGTGTGTTGTGGGCATTACCTCTTGCTGGGGCTTCCAGGAAGGCTCCCGCTCAAGTCCTGCTGGCTCTGAGAACAAGCATTCTTGCATCAATAGCTAATAGGCTGTCCAACCAGATGTTATCTGGGTGGGATAAGAGGGTGAGAAAACAGACCTGTTGTACGCTGTTGTCAACTACATCACTGTGGCGAGAGAAGGCTGGTCGTGTGGTGTTTAGCTGGGCACCTCTTCCACGGCGAGGCAGACCACATTACATTGCTGCTTAAATCCATTTCCTCTTGTGATTGGTAGAACACGAGCATTATAATCATTCATGCATTACTAAAGCTTCTGTTCCATCATTTTGAAGGGACAGTAATTTTTTTTTTCTAGTACAGAGCATGCATCCAGCAGAAAACCTTAAGCATTCATTGGCTTTTGTAAGCAATCTTTCGGAATAAGCATCAAATAACTGCAATGGGGTACCTGTGACAAGACTGGAGATGATTAGCGGTAGGACCAGCATCTGTAACATCCGCATCAGAAGTTCCCCAGGAAAGGAGAAGTACTTGACCTCCCGATAGCTCATTTTGTACGGTCTGAGGGTAAATCCCAGGATTGTACCTGAAGGTATGAAAAAAAAAAAAGAAAATAAATTCAATCTTTACAAGAAAAAAAAAAATCAAAGCCACAGTCCTAGATAAATGAGTAAGTGTTTAGCTGGTGGCCACTCACGTCTGGCAAGTGCAAATTTATTCAAGCAGCAAATATTTGTGTAGCTTGGGGAGCAAGGGATACATTTATCCCTGCAATCATTATCTAGAAGGGTCTGACTGTATCCAAGGTTTCAATTCAAACTTCTAGAAAAAAATCTCTGGTTTGAGTAAATGGAAAATTTCTTTGTGTAACTTGAATGTAGCAATACCCATTTAGCTATGGCTCAGTACAGTTATAAAGATTGGCACAAAATTAAGAAACAAATCATGCATTCTCAAACAAGGTGATGTGTGGGGGGGGGGAAAGGCCTTACAATGAACTTCCTTTATAATAACAGATGTTAGAATTGCGAGCATAACCACCTGCAAAGGGTAGCCAATTTTATTCTCATTCCAATTGGGGGAAAAAAAAAAGAAAGACTTCGTGTTCACATTGTTAATCCATTTTCATCATGTCCTGTCTGCACACCACATTCTCTCGCTATGTCTACATGGCCTTGACATTGCCTTGGCAACGTATTGTACAGACTTGTTCATGGCTGGCAAGAGAAGACTCCACAAGGAGCAGAAATTTTTCTCCCAAAAGTTTCCTCTGAAAAGTTGGGGGAAGATACAAGAGAGAAAAAAAACACGGTTTCCTCATTTTTTCCTCTGCTCCTGAAACTTGGAAATATATTTTCAAAATAATTTTATAAGTCAGTCTAAATTGTACATGACACTATCGACATGTGCAGACATTAACAAAGGTACTGAATAAATTATTGTCTCGCCTCTCCCTAATTTGTCTCAAGAAAATGTACTCATTCTAATATTAACAATCTTTTCAAAAATTTACTACATGTAATTTCATGAAAAGAAAAAGTTCACATAAGTGATCAAGAAAATACCCAGTACTGAGTTAACCAAAAGCTAAAGAGAAAGGAGAGAATAGAGGGTAGAAATACATTTTCCCAAAGAATACAAACTGTCCTTTGCAGATTGAACTATATCAACTTCTTATGAAATGGGTTTTTCATATGAAATAGGATACCAAGTTCATCTTGTTGTTAACTGTAACTTCCATTTCAATTCCTAGGTCTCAGCAATCATGAGGTATTGACTATAAACATGGGGTCTTCAAAAAGTTCATGGATAATGACTAGTATGATAAACTGCAGGGGTTTCAAATTTTTTCTATACCAAAATAAGGCTAACTTTCAATTCTGCTTTTCCAGAATTGTTTGGGAAGCAATCTCATGCCATGATATTCTATGATTCTATGTGACTAGAAAATCCAGCTGGCCAAGTTCTCAGGGCCTTCAAGGAAACACCAACCCACCCCTCCTCCTCTCCCACCCCCTACTACAAGGTAGCAGTAAGGTGCTCAGAAGAGTTGGTCTAGAAAAGAACAATGGGAGGCCAAAATGCCCACAATGGCTCTGCTCTGAAAAATAGCAAAGAGCTAATGCTTCCCGATCTCCTACTATGTGGTGGGCACTGTTATCAGTGGTTTACCTGTGTTACAAGTCTAACCCTCCTAGTAATCCCGTTGGTGGGTACTATTACCACCACCTGACTGATGGAGAGACCCAATCACAACTAACTTACAACTTCCTCAAAGTCAAACACACTCAGACGGCAGAGCTAAGACTTAAAGCCAGGCAGTTCCAACTCAGATTCCATGTTCGTGAACCACCCTACAGGCTGCCTGCCTTCTCCTGTAGCACCAAGACAGCTGTCACTAGCTCATCCACCAGTTTCTTTCAGAGTGCTCCAGAACATCACTAAACACATGGAAATCGCACAGAATTTGCTTTTCCATATACAATCACTATAAACATTTCAATCTCATGGTATCAGACCCAATAACTGTTTCAGGATTTTCTTAATTGGTGAACACTTTTGTTTCTATTTTTCACTTCTAGGAAGAACACAGAAATGGATACAAGCAAACTAATTTACATGGAAGGGTATTTTTTGGTTTTCGAGAAAGGAAACCAGGGGCTCAAAGGATCCGACTACTACAATTTCTGTCATCAAATAAGTAAATATTTCCTAAACTCTCAGCAGCAGCCTATTATTTACCATAAAGAGAATGTTAAAATATTTCATTTATATCATGAATAGTATGTCTGCTTGTTTTATTTTGTAATTAGTATCTAATGATGTTGATAATTTATTTCCACCAAGTATCTATCAAACCCTATTAGTTATATATATATTTTTTAAAGATTCATTTATTTCTATTGGAAAGTCAGATTTACAGAGAGAAGGAGAGACAAGGAAAAAGCTCTTTCATCTGCTGGTTTACTCCCCAGATGGCTGTAATGGCTGGAACTGAGCCAATTCGAAGCCAGGAGCCTCCCCCAGGTCTCTCACTTGGATTCAGGGTCCCAAGGCTTTGGACTGTCCTCTACTGGTTCCACAGACCAGAAGCAGGGAGCTGGATGGGAAATGAAGCTGTTACATGAACCAGCGCCCATGTGGGATCCTGACACATGCAAGGTGATGATTTAGTCACTAGACTACTGTGCCGGGCCCAGTTCCTAGTAGTTTAAGTGGTTATATAAATGTGTGTTTGTGTTCAGACTAGGTTCTTCATATAATACAGATAATTATTCTTGGCCTAGGTATAAAATAATTTGTCAGAATTATTATTCTAATTTGCATGCCCTGTTACTTTAAAATATACAACTTTTTTTACATTTTTGTAAAATCATGTATGCTTTTTATTAGATGATTCCTCTAAGAGTTAAAAGCTTTGAGCCTGGTGCTATGGTTCAATGGATAAATCTTCACCTTGTAAGCACCAGACTCCCTTGGGTGCCATTTCATGTCCTAGCTGCTCTACTTCCTCTCCAGCTCCCTGCTTATGGCCTGGGAAAGCAGTGGAGGACGGCCCAAGGCCTAGGGACCCTGCACCTGAGTGGGAGAGCTGGAAGAAGCTCCTAGCTTCCGACTGGCTCAGCTGTTGTGGCCATCTGGGGAGTGAACCAGCAGCTTTTAAAAACAAGTTAAAAGTTTTCATTTCCTGCTCGGCTCAAGCTTTGATAAACATTTAGATTCATTTTTCTTTCCTTGATCCTTTAATTGCTTTATTTTAGAATATTGAACCTTTACTTTTTCTTAATTTCTAGTTTATATTTCATTATTTTCAACATGTAATTCAACACAGCAATAACCGTAACACATAGACTCAATAACAAGTGATAGATAATTCGCCTTCCAATCAAATGCAATTTTACCAGAAGTATCTGCTTTCATATTTTAGATACATCTAAATATTATCCATTATTAAACTTACTACCAAAAACATGTACAATAAAAACAGGGAGTTCATTTTCATTATCTGGAACTTGAACATATCAAGTTGTTAGGAATTTTAGGTATTTTCAAATAGCAATTAAAACTGGGCTTGGTTTTACAAGTGTATCTAAATTGGCTGTTATGAGAAATGTGTTTACTAGGGCATCAGGTTAAGCCACCACTCAGGATGCACATCCCATTTCAGAGTACCTGCGCTCAGATTCTACCTCTGCTTCCAATCCAGCTACCAGCTGGTGTGTGCTGTGGGAGGCAGGAGATGATGGCTCAAGTCCCAGAGTTCTTGTCATCCATATGGGAGACCAGGACTCAGCTCCTGGTTCTGGGCTGGGCTAGCCTGAGCTACTGCAGGCAGTTAGGGAATGACCCTAACTGCAGGTCTGTCTCTTGTGCCAGTCTCTGACTTCACCTTTGAAGTCAATGAAAACAGACATTTTGAGCAGGGGAAATCCAAGCACCTATAAAACTGTATCAAAAAAAAAAAAAACTGTATCACATAATACAATGTTATTAACAATAAAAAAATAAGTTTTAAAAAACAGACATTTTGTAAAATGCATTTACTCACATACAACACTATTTCTAAGAGTAGAGAGAATGCACAAAAATCTAATTTATGATTTATAAATCATCGAGAGCCCTGGCTGCTCTCCTAATGACATAGGGCCTAGAAACGAGATAAACCAGGATGGATAAAGGAAGCAATTATTCTAAATAATAGGATACATGATCTCTTCTCCCAAAATCTGACTTGTGCCAACATCATCTCTAGGCCCCTGTGTACTGCCACACCAGCTACACTCAGCCTTTCCCCCCTTAGGGGTCTACCGCCTTTTCTTCTCTTGTCCATTGCATCTACATTTCCTTACTGCAACCAATTTTAAGTGAAGAGAGAAAAGTAAGCCGGCTTAGTAAGTGAACTCTAGGTAGTCTGTGAAGGACAGTCTGTTAATACCCTAATTCACTACCTAGATATCCAACCCAAAAAGTAGGACAGCCAGGCAAGGCAGTCTCGAGAGGTGGCGATTCTTTTTTAAATGTTTACTTATTTTAATCTACTTGAAAGGTGTGTGTGTGTGTGTGAGTTGAGAAATTTTCCATCCTTTAGTTCATCCCCCAAATGTCCAGAATAGCCAGTGCTGGACCAGGCTTAAACCAGGAGTCAGAAACTATTCATGTCTCCCATATGGGTGATGGAGACTGGAGTACCTGTGACACCTTCTGCCTGCCAGGTGCATTAGCAGGAACTGGATCAGAAGCAGAGTAGCCTGGACTCAAACCCAGCACTCCAACATGGAATGCAGGTGTCTCAAACATAGGCACAACCACTGCCAAAGCCCCTACCCCTATTATCAGAACTAATACGTGATTTGGCATGGAGGATTCTGAACAAAATCCAGTGATCTTTGTATTACACTTTTATTGTCTCTCAAACACAAACACATCCTTATAGGATAGGTCTGAGAACAGTTTTAAAGATTTATTTATTTTTATTACAAAGTGAGATATATAGAGAGAAGGAGAGACAGAGAGGAAGATCTTCCCTCTGATGATTCACTCCAAGTGACTGCAACGGCCATTACTGGGCCGATCCAAAGCCAGGAG